CAGGTGCGTTGCCAGGTTTGTTGTGCTACACACGTATTTGATAGGCGCCCGGCTTTTTTTGCAGATTACATTTGTGTACAGTGTATCTGGAAAAAAACTAAATATTGTCACACATTTTTAGGAGCATTAAAAATCTCCTTGCCATTTACGTTGTTACCGAATCCCTCCATACTTGTTATGGACCCCAAGCTTCCGTCAGAGCCCGAGGAAGCAATAGTGCATTCAGGGAGGGCATTGCCTCGGAAATATGACAGGGCAGGGAATAGATAGAACAATTGATTTAACCATGGAATCTACCGATGCAGACAGGCTGGAAGAGATGCACCGCAAATTCACCCCTAAATTATATCCGATGCGCTCTGAATGTATTCGTGTAGTTGCATCGCAGACGTTTGTATCGGACCATCAATGCGAATCCACGCACACACACACACAACCCAGGCCCCTCAGATTGTTAGGTCCGCCCCTGGGTCTGCCACACATGGGCGCCTCGCTGCACCTCCCTACACACTCTGGATGGAGCGCTAAAAGAACAGAACCGTCCTGGTGAGTTTAGCAAAAGATTACCTCTACTCCTTTACTCTATGTTGATGTTTACTAACATTTAAATTCCAAAATGTTACAATTTTGTATTCACCTTGATTAAGTCCTCATTTCAAGATCTAGTTCTATCTAAAAAGTCGTGTGTATGAAAATAAAAAAGAAAAGATTTATGGAATAATCATCACTAAGATGAAAAGATACATTTTATGGATGCAATGCTGTATATTGTGCGAAAAAACGGAAAAAGGAATGAGCTGTAAATGGTCTGCACTTTTGTTCATCTACATGTCATTGTTTTGTCTGGAATGTTCCACTTGTGTACTCAACCATGAGGTACATTACCAATCATATCTGCAGAGTGCCTCTGCTGATTTTGATTAGTCTTAAGATGTTGTAAAACATTATTTTCTTATTTTAACCAAACAGAGCAGGCGTGTCCAAATGATCTGCACCCAGTCACAAGGTTTGATGCATTTTTGACCAGTTTACAACCTAGTCTACTCTTTAAATCCAAATGTCATCTTACTTTGTTCCATTTTAAATGATACATTTTTACAAGGTTCCCCTCTGCCGCTTATTCTAAAACACTTTGGACACCCCTGAAGCATACAATTTCAATTTATAATTGAATAACACCACACTTTGCCTTCATAATTCAATACAATAACCTGTAAATTATCAGCAACGTTTACTACATATCAGCTGAGGTTTAACTACCCTCTATTAAGTACATGTTATTACTATGTGTTATTTCTTTCTTTATTATTGTGTCCTGGATACATATTATGTGTAATGTGAAATTTTATAGTTTTAATGAATACCAATTCACCTGCAGACATTGACCGCTCCAGATGGATGCTCCTTAGGGAAGGTCAAATATGAAGTTATGGGCTGAAGCTTTTCTATTTCAATTTTTATTCGTTAGTCTGTTTTAAAGGTCGGATGCACTGAAGACGCTTGGAAAATGACAAACAGACTGGGGCAGTGCAGGTGAAGTGCTGTACAGAATGTGTGGTAATTTGCTTCAGATTCAGATACATTTTATTTGCCATTTGCAGAAAAATACATGTGCAAGAGACAAGTACATACATACACAAGGTTAAAAGTACAGGAATAAAACAAACAAAAAAAAGTGCAGGAAACAGCTTGTGGAAAAAAGCATAACGAGATGTCCTGCATCTCAATGAACAATATCTTCTGCCAGAGGAAAGAAGCTGGAACATGGCTTTTCCAGGGTGACCAGAAGAGTCATTGGTTATTTTAAGAGATCGGTTTAACTCTTTTCCCCTTGCACGCCTATTAGGAACAACACATACAAGCATTACTAGGGCTACCCATAGAGTATAATTGCATAAAAGAAAACAAAGTGACTATTACCCATTTCGGTAACACATATATTAATGGTACATGAGTTCATGCATGATTCTCATGAACTAATGCATGAATTAATGCATTAGTTCATGATACATTCATGCCTTACTAGATTATGAATTCCCATGAACTAACATGATTACATGTTGGTTCATGGATGACTTCATCCATGAATTAATGGTTGAACTATTGTAATGAATTTACATGAAAATCTTAAAGAATCATCATGATCATGATGATACCATAAATTTACTGAAAAAGCAATGAAATTACCACAAAATCATCAACCTATCATGATCAAACATGAACATCATGAATCAAATGGCGGAAATCTACTAGTAAATTATGACGACACAATCATTAACTCATCATTAGCTAATGCTTAATACATCATGATTTCATTATATTTACTAATGCTTAATACATCATTATTTGCTTATGATTGTGTCCCCTCAACTAAAGTGAAGCAATGATTTATGGGTTGTTCCTTCAAATGCAGCCTCGCGGAAATTCAATTCTGGAAGACGTCAGCCAAAGCCACCCCTTCCAGGCCGGCCTCGCATCCCCAGCTTATCGCACAGCAAACGCCTATTTCCAACCAACCTATGCCGGCCAGGCCAGCCGCTTAAAAGCGGAGAAACTCCCACTTTACGGCCTCCTCGAAGCCTTGCAAACCACCGCCTCCCCTCCTCCTCCCTTTTCTCACCCTGCCTCAATCATGCCTCTTCCTGCTGCCCGAATGCCGCCACCAGTGCCTAGGTCCCGGGGGATTGTGCGCGCACTCTCGCAGGAGCCTCGCTGACTGAACGTCGCACCGGGGCCTAGGGCGCTAAACTACCTTTCAATAAAAAACTTCAAATGCATTTTGTCTCCTCAAAGTCTCTCCAGATTGAATTATTTTACAAACTAATTTGAATGGGAGTGTTACTCAACAAAGAAACCTTTTATTACTTCAGGTGCAGCAATGGAGGTCTTATTTGGTTATGCTGTGCGTGTGATAGTTTGTAAAATAAATTGAAGAAACAACCCATAAATTTACTTTACTTTTAAAAGACTGATTGGCAAAATGCACTGTATTTAAGCACTTTAACGCAAGAAGATTAGATGAGATATAAAGACAAGCTAAAAATAAGTATATGAGACCGAACTGAACAAATTGTAAGCTCATATGAGACCTGGGATGATGACAAACATCGGTCAGAAGATTTTCATGTAAATTCATTACAGTAGTTCAACCATTAATTCATGGATGAAGTCATCCATGAACCAACATGTAATCATGTTAGTTCATGGGAATTCATGATCTAGTAATTCATGAATGTATCATGAACTAATGCATTAATTCATGCATTAGTTCATCATGCATGAACTCATGTACCATTAATATAAAGTGTTACCAAAAGTTAATCTCTTGCTTTCGCCGAATGCATTGGGTCTCTGTGTCCACTGGCTCTCCCGCGTCGCACATGCTATTCCTCGCACGCACGTGCATAAGCATTGACACAGCATTGAAATACAATCTATAGATCCATGGACGCTACGCATGGTGCGGTTGTTGTTTTTGCATTTCCCAGAATGTTTTGCGGTTCATACTTGCTGGGATAGGTCGAGAAGGCTCTGCCTACGTCCCCCAGAATGCTGCGCGCTTCTTACTTGGTCGGCACTAGATCATAAACGGAATCGGGACAAAACCGGAAGTAACAATCCTACTTTTGAATTAGTTTTAGACTAATAAGTCCTTAAGTGGTGACTGGTTAAGTTTTAGGTGTCTGAGTAAGATGGTTAAGGTTAAGAGTGGTTTGGGGTTATTTTATGGGAATGGCTGGTTTAGGGTTAGGGTTAGGGTCTCTCACACTTCAACTGTGAGAGACAGAATGTGAAAAAAAAATCCAGGAATTCACATTGTAGGATTTTTAAAGAATTTATTTGTAAATTATGGTGGAAAATAAGTATTTGGTCAATAACAACAATTTAACTCAATACTTTGTAATATAACCTTTGTTGTCAATAACAGGTCAAAGGATTACTATAGGTCTTTACCAGGTTTGCACACACAGTAGCTGGTATTTTGGCCCATTCCTCCATGCAGATCTTCCTGAGAGCAGTGATGTTTTGGGGCTGTCGCAGAGTAACATGGACTTTCAACTCCCTCCACAGATTTTCAATGGGGTTGAGGTCTGGAGACTGGCTAGGCCACTCCAGGACTTTCAAATGCTTCTTACGGAGCTACTCCTTCGTTGCCTGGGCGGTGTGTTTGGGATCATTGTGGGATTTTTGATCACCGTCCTCATGATCATTTTGACCCCACGGGATGAGATCTTGCGTGGAGCCCCAGATCGAGGGAGATTATCAGTGGTCTTAGTTGTCTTCCATTTTCTGATAATTGCTCCCACAAGTTGATTTGTTCACACCAAGCTGCTTGCCTATTGTAGATTCACTCTTCCCAGTCTGGTGCAGGTCTACAGTTCTTTTCCTGGTGTCCTTCGACAGCTCTTTGGTCTTGGCCATAGTGGAGTTTGGAGTCTGACTGTTTGAGGCTGTGGACAGGTGTCTTTTATACAGATAACTGAGTTCAAACAGGTGCCATTAATACAGGTAACAGACGGAGGACAGAAGAGCTTCTTAAAGAAGAAGTTACAGGTCTGTGAGAGCCAGAGATCTTCCTTAGGGTGATTTGTGAGTAGGGTGAGTAATGGATATTGATAGATTTAGATGGGGGGAAGAATGTGATATGTGTTATTGGGGGTTTTTGGGAGGAAAATTTTGGTGAAGGGGGGTATAGGGGGGGGTGAGTGGGGGAGGGAGATAAGATGTATTAGTTAGAGATATATATTATATATGGTGGTGGATGGTTTAGTGTGTGTGAGGGGAGGAGGAGAGAAAATATATATGTTTTAATATATATGGAAATAAAGATTATGGTGGGGTTTGTATTGTTTGAAGTGAAGAAGGGTGAGTATGGTGAGTGGTGATTAATGGAGATGTGTAGTATTGGTGAGGGGTTGAATATGGTGTTTATTTGGGATGTGGTATTGTTGATTTTAGATTAGAGATATTGGGGTGAGAGGTGGTTGGTTTTGAAGATAATGAGGGTAGGAGGGGGGTGGGGAGGAGGGTTGGGGGAGAAAGATAGGGATGGTTATAGGGATTGGTAAGGGGGGAGGGGGAATATAAAAGGGGGGATAGGTTTTGTTGGTATGTGGGAGGGTTGGGGATGATTTGGTATATGATTAGGGGTGTGTTGTTGGGGGTTTGTGGTTGGTTGGGTGGTTGTGTGGGGGTTGGTTGGGTGGGGGGTGTTGGTGGGGGGTTGTGGTGGGTGGTGGGGGGATTGGTGTTGTGGGGGGGGGTGTTGGGGTGTAGTGTAGGGTGTGTTTGGGGGGGTGGGGGTAGAGGGGTGGGTGGTGGGTGTGTTGGGGTGGGGTGTTTGTGGGTGTGGTGATGTGGTTGGGTGTGTTTGATGGGGGTTGGGTTGTGGGGGGGGTGGTGGGTTTGGTGTTGTGTGGGGGTTTGTAGGGGGTATGTGGGGTTGGGGTTGAGTTTGTGGTGGTTGGGGGGGGTTGTGTGGGGGGGTTTGGTGTGTGTTGGGGTGTGTGGTGGTTGGGGTGGGTTGGGGGGGGGGAGTGTGTGGTTGAGTGGGGGGGGTTTGGTTGGGTGGTTTAGTGGGGTTGTAGTGGGTTTGGGTATGGGTTAGTTAGTGTGGGGGGGGGGTGGTGGGTGTTGGGTGGTGGTGGGGGTGGGGTGTGGTGTGTTGGTGGGGGGTGTGTGGGTGTGGGTGGTGGGTGTTGGGTTGGGGTTGGGGTGGTGGGTGTGGGGGGTATGGGGTGGGTGGGTTGTGTGGTGGGTTGTGGGTGTGTGGGTGGGGTTTGGGGGTTGGGTGGGGATGGGGGGTGTGTGGGGGTTTTTGGTGGTGGGTTGGTGGGGTGGTTGGGGTGGTTGGGGGGGTTTGGGGATGGTGGGTTTGTGTGGTGGGTTGTTGTGATTGTTGGTGGGTTGGTGTTGGGGGGTGGTGTGGGGTGGTGTGGGTGGGTGGTGTTGGGGTGGGGTTGGTTGTGTAGTGGGTGGTGTTGTGGGTGGTTGGTTGTGGTGGGTGGTTGTGGTTGTGGTGTGGGGGTGGGGTGGGTGTTGGTGGTTTTGGTGGGGGTGTGGGGGGGTGGGGGTGGTTGTGTGGGTGGTTGTGGGGGTGTATGGTGTTTGGGTGGTGGGGGGTGTGTGTGTGGGTGGGTTGTTGGGTGGTTGTGTGTTGGTGTGGGGTGTTGGTTTGTGTTGGGGTGTGTTGGGGGTGGGGGTGGTGTGGGGGTGGGGGTGGTGTTGGGGGTGTTGGTGTGGGGGTGGGTGTGTTGGGGGGTGGTTGTGGTTGGTTGTGTTTGTGGTTGTGGGTTGTTGGGTGGGGGGGGGTGGTTTGGTGTGGTTGGTTGGGTGTGTTGGGTGTTGGGGTGGGTGGTGGGGGTTGGTGGTGGGTTGTGGGTTGGTGGGTTGTGGGTGGGGGGGTTAGTGTGGGGTTGGGGTTGGTGGTGTGGTGGGGGGGGGTGTTGGGGTGTGGTGGGGGTTGGGGTGTTGTGTGTGTGGGGTGGTGTGGTGGGTGTGTGGGGGGTGGGGTTGTGTGTGGGGTTGTGGTGTTGTGGGTGGTGGGGGTGGTGGGGGTGGGTGGTGTGTGGTGGGGTGGGGTGGTGGGGTGGGTTGGGGGGTGTTGGGTGGTTTGGGGGTGTTGGGTGGTGGTGTGGGGTTTGGGTGGGTGGGTGGGGGTGGTGGGGTGGGTGGGGGTTGGTTTGGGTGTGTGGGGTGTGGGGGTTGGGTGGTTGGTGGGGGGGGTGGGTGGTGGTTGGTGGGTGGGGGTGTTTGGGGTGGTGTGGGGGTGTGTTGTGGGGGTGGGGGGGGTGGTTGTGGGGGGGTGTGGGGGTTGGGGTGGGTGGGGGGTGTGGGGTGGGTGGGGTGGTTGGTGGGTGGGTGTTGGGGGGGGTGGGGTGGTTGGGGGTGGGGTGTGGGGGGTGGGTGTTGGGGTTGGTGTGGTGTGGGGGGGTGTGGGTGGGGGGGGTGTGTTTGGGTGTGGTGGTGGGGTGTGGGTGGGGGGTTGGGTGGGGGTTGGGTGGGGTTGGTGTGGGTGTTGTGGTGGGGGTGGTGGTTGGGGGTGGTGGGGGGTGGGGGGGTGTGTGTTGGGTGGTGGTGGGGTTGGGTGGGTGTTGGTGGTGGTGGGGGTGTGGGGTTGGGTGTGTTGTGGGTTGGGTGGTGGGTGTGGGGTGGTGTTGGTGGTTGTGGGTGGGGGTTTGGTGTGGTGGTGGGGGTGTGGTGGGTGGGGTGGTGTGGGTTGGGTTGGGGTGGGGGTGGTGTGGGGGGGGGGGGGTGGTGTTGTGGGTGTGGGTGTGGGTGTGTGGGTGGTGGGGGGGTTGGTGTGGGTGGGGTGGGGTGGTGGTGTGGTGGGTGTGTTGGGTTGGGTGGGGGGTGGGGGGTGTGGTGTTGGGGGGTTGTGTTGGGTGGTGTTGGGGTGTGGGTTGTTGGTTGGGGTGGGTGTGGTTGGGTGGTGTGGTGGTGGGGGGTTGGGTGTGGGTGTGGTGGGGGGTGGTGGGGTGGGTGGTGTTGTGGGGTGGTGGGTGTGGTGTGTTTGGGTTGTGGGGTGTGGGTGTTGGGGGTGTGGTGGGGGGGTGGTGGGTGTTGTGTGGTGTGGGTGGGTGTGGGGGGTGGGGGTGGGGTTGTGTGTGGGGTGGTGTTTGTGTGGTGGGGTTGTGGTGGGTGTGGGGGTGGTGTGGGGTGGGTTGGGGTGTGGTGGTGTTGTGGGGGTGTGGGTGGTGTGGGGGGGTGGGTTGTGGGGTGGTTGTTGGGTGGGGTGGTGGGGTGGTGTGGGGGGGGGTTGTGGGTGTTGGTGTGGTGGGTTGTGGGTTGGGGGTGGGGGGTGGTGTTGGTGTGGGTTGTTGTGGTGGGTGTTGGGTGGTGGTGGGGGGTGGGGGTGTGGTGGGGTGTTTGGGGGTGGTTGTTGGTGTGGGTGGTGTTGTTGTGGGTGTGTGGTTGGTGGTTGTGTGGGGTGGTGGGTGTGGGTGTGTTGGTGTGTGGGTGGGTGTGGGTGTGGGTGTTGTTGTGGGTGGTGTTGTGGGGGTGGTGGTGTGGGGGTGTGGGGTGTGTTGTGGTTTGGGTGGTGGGGTGTTGGTGGTTGTGGGGTGGTGTGGGGGTGGGGTGTGGTGGGTGGGGGGTGTGGTGGGTGTGGGGGTGGTGGTTGGGTGGGTGGTGTTGTGGGTGGGTTGTGGGGTGGTTGGTTGTGGGGTGGGGGGTGGTGGTTGGTGGTGGTTTGGTGGTGGTTGGGGGTGGTGGTGGGTGTGGGTGTGTTGGGTGTGTGGTGGGTGTGGTGTTGGGGTGGGGGGGTGTGGGGTGGGTGTGGGGGTGGGTTGGGTGGGGGGTGTGGTGGTGTGGGGTGGGTTGTGGTGTTGGGGGTGGGGGTGTGGGTGGTTGTGGGTGGTGGGGTGTGGGTGGGTGGTGGGGTGTTGGTTGGGGGTGTGTGGGTTGGTGGGGTGGTGTGGGGGGTGTGGGTGGTTGTGGTTGGGTGGGTGTGGGGGGGGTGGGGTGTTGTGGGTGGGTGTGTGGGTTGTGGTGGTGGGGGTGGGGGGGTGGTGTGTGGGGGGGGGGTGGTGGGTGTTGGTGGTGGGTGTTGTGGGTGTGGTGGGTGTGTTGGGTGGTTGGGGGTTGGTGGGGTGGTGGGGTGTTGGTGGGTTTGGTGTTGGGTGGGGTGGGTGGGTGGTGTGGGGGTTGTGGGGTGGTGGGGGTGTGGGTGGGGTTGGTGGGGGGGTGTTGTGGGGTGGGGGTGGGTTGTGGTTTGGGGTGTGGTGGGGGGGGTTGTGGGTGTGGGGGGTGGGGGGGGTGGTTGGGGGTGGTGGTGTTGGGTGGTGGGGTGGGGTGGTTGGGTTGGGGTGGTGGGGGGGTGGGTTGTGGGTGGTGGTGTGGGGGGTGGGGTGTGGTGTGGTTGGTTGGTGGTTGGGGTGGGGTGGTGTGGGGTGTTGTGGGGGTGGTGGGGTGGGTTGGTGTTGGGTTTGGGTGTTGTGGTGGGGGGGTGTGTTGGGGGGTGTGGGTGGGGGGGTGTGGGTTGTGGTGGTGGGGTTTGGTGGGTGGGGTGTTGTTGTGGGTTGTGGGTGGTTTGTGGTGTGGTTGTGTTGTGGGGGTGGGTGTTGGGGTGGTGTGGGTGTGGGTGGTTGGTGTGGGTGTTGGTTGGTGGTGTTGGGGTGTGGTGGTGTTTGTGTGGGTGGTGGTGTGGGTTGTGGGTTGGTGGTGGGGTGGGGGTGGTGGGTTGGGGGGTGGTTGGTGGGGTTGTGTGGGGTGGTGGTGGGTGTTGGGGGGGTGGGGGTGGTGTTGGTGGGTGTTTGTGGGTTGTGGTGGGTGGGTGGTTGGGGTTGTGGTGGTTGGTGGGTGGTGGGGGGTGTTGTGGGTTGTTGGGGGTGGTGGGTGGGGTGGTGGGGGGTTGTGTGGGGTGTGGGGTTTGGGGGTGGGGTGGTGTGTGGTGTGGGGGGGTGGTGTTGGTTGTGGTGGTTGGGTGTGTGGGTGGGTTGTGTGGGGTGGTGGGTGGGGTGGTGGTGGGGTGGTGTGTTGGTGTTGGGGTTGGTTGTGGTGTGGTGGTGTTGTGGGGGTGGGTGTGTTGGGGTGGGGGGTGGTGTTTGGGGTGTGTGGTGGGGGGTGTGGGGTGTGGTGGGTGTTGGTTGTGTGGGGTGTTGGTGTGGGGGTGGTTGTGGGTGGTTGGGGTTGTGGGGTGGTGTGGTGTGGTGTGGTGGGGGTGGGTGGGTGTTGTGGGTGGTGTGTGGTGGTGTGGGTGTTGGTGTTGGTGGTTGGGTGGGGGTGTGGGGGTGGGTGGGGGTGGTGTTGGTGTGTTGGTGGTGTGGGTGGGTGTGTGGGTTGTGTGGTGTGGGTGGGGGTGTTGTGGGTGTGGTGGTTGGGTTGGGGGGTGTGGGGGGTGGTGTGGTGGGTGTTGGGTGTGTGGTGGGGTGGTTGTGGGTGTGGTGTGGTTGGGGGGTGGTGTTGGGGTGTTTGGGGTGGTGGTGGGTGTGGTTGTGGTGGGGTGGGGTGGTGGGTGTGTGGGGTTGGGTGTGGTGGGTGTGTGGGTGGTTGGGGGGTGGGGGTGTGGGTTGGTGGTGGGTGTTGGTTGTGGGGTGGGTGGGTGGGGGGTGTGTTGTGTGGGTTGTTGGGGGGGTGGTGGGGGTGGTGTGGGTGTGTGGTTGTGTGGGGTGGGTGTTGGTGTGGGGTTGTGTGGGGTGGGGGGTGGTTGGTGGGTGGTGGGTGGGTGGGTTGTGTGGGGGTGGTGTGGGGGTGGTGTTGTGGTGGGGTGGTGGGGGGTGGGGGGTGTGTTGGGTGGGTGGGGTTGGGGTGGGTGTGGGTTGGGTGGGGGTGGTGTGGTGGTTGTGGGGGTGTGTGGGGTGTTGGGGTGGGTGTGTGGGTGGTGTGTGGTGGGTGGTGGGGGGTGTTGTGTGGGTGGTGGGGGTGTGTGGGGGTGGGTGGGGTGGGTGGGGTGTGGTGGGGTGGGGGGTGTGTTGGGGTTGGTGGTGGGTTGGTGTGGTGGGTGGGGGTTGGTGTTGGGGGGTGGTGGGTGTGGGTGGTGGTGGGGGTTGTGGGGGGTGGTTTGGGTGGTGGTGGGGTGGGTGGGTGTGGGTTGTGGTGGGGTGGGTGGTGGGGTGGTGTGGTGTTTGTGGTGTGGGGGTGGTGGGGTGGTTTGTGGGTGGGGGTGTTGGTGGGTGTGGGTGGGGGGTGTTGGTGTGGTGGGGTGGGGTTTGTGTGGTGGGTGGGGGTGGGTGTGGTGTGGGGGTGGGTGTGGTGGGGTGGGGGGGTGGGTTGGTTGGTGGTGTGGGGGTGTGGTGGGTGGGTTGTGGGTGGTTGGGGTGGTGGGGGTGTGGGTGTGGGGGTGTGGTGGTGTGGGTGGGGTGGTTGGGGTGTTGGTGGGTGTGGTTGTGGGTGGTGTGGGTGGGTGGTGGGGGTTGGTGTGGGTTGTGGTGGGTGGTTGGGGGTGTGGGTTGTGGGGGGTGGGGTGGTGTGGGGGGTGGGTGTGGGGGGGTTGGGTGTGGTTTGGGGGGGTTGTGGTGTGGGTGTGTGGGGGGTTGGGTGGGGGGTGTGTGGGTGTGGGTGTGTGGGTGTGTGGGGGTGTGGGGGGTGTGGTGTGGGTGGTGGTGTGTGGGGTTGTGTTGGTGTTGGTGGTTGGGGGGGGGTGTGGTGGTGTTGTGGGTGTGTGGGGTGTTGTGTGGGTGGTTGTGGGTGGGTGTGTGGGTTGGTGGGGGTGTTGGTGGGTGTGGGGTTTGGTGGGGTTTGGTGGGGGGGTTGTGTGGTGGTTTGGTGGGTGGTTGGGTGTTGGTTGGTTGTGGTGTGGTGGGTGTTGGGGGGTGGTGGGTGTTGGGTTGGTGTGTTGGGGGGTGTGTGGGTGGTTGGGTGTTTGTGGGGTGGGGTGGGGGGTTGGTGGGGGGGGTGGTTGGGGGTGGTGGGGTGGGTGGGGGTGGTGGGTTGTGGTGGGTGTGTGGGGTGTGGTGTGGTGGTGTTGGGGTGGTGGTGTTGGGGTTGGGGGGTTGTGGGGTGGGGTGGGGTGTTGTGGTGGTTGGGGGGGTGGGTGGTGGGTGGGGTGGTGGGGGGTGTTGGGTGGTTGGTTGGTGGGGGTGGGGTGGTGGGGTGGTTGGTGGGTGTTGGGGGGTGGGGGTTGGGGGTGGTGGGTGGTGGTGGTTGTGGTGGGGTGGGGTGGGGTGTGGGTGGTTGTGTGGTGGTGGGGGTGTGGGTTGTGGGGGGTGGTGTGGTGGTTGGGTGTGGGTGGGGTGGGGTGTGTTGTGTGGGTTGGTTGGGTGGGGTGTGGGGTGTTTGGGGGGTTGGTTGTGGGTGGGTGGGTTGTGGGGTGGTGGGTGGTGTGGGGGGGTGGTGGGGTGGGGTTGGTGGGGGGGGGGTGTTGGGGTGTGTGGTGGTGGTGGGGGGTGGTTGGGGTGGGTGTGGTGGGGGGTGGGGTTTGGGGGTGGTGTGGGGTTGGTGTTGTGGGGGGGTGGGGGGTGGTGGGGGTTGTTGGGGTTGGTGGTGTGTGGGGGGGGTGTGTTGGTGGGTGTGGTGGGTGGTTGGTGGGTTTGGTGTTGGGGGTGTGGGTGGTGGGTGGGGTTGGGGTGGGGTGTTGTGGGGTGTGGGTTGGTGGGGTGGTGGGGGGTGGTGGGGTGGGGGTTGTGGTGTGTGGTGTGGGGTTGGGGGGTTGGTGTTGGGTGGTGGGGGTGGTGGGGGGTGTTTGGGTGGGGTTGTTGGGGTGGGTTGTGTGTTGTGGGGGTGGTGGGGTTGGGGGTGGGGGGGGGTTGGGGGGGTGGTGGGGTTGGGGGTGGGGGTGTGTGGTTGTGGTTGGGTTTGGTGTGGGGTGGGTTGGGGGGGGTGGGGTGTTGTGGGTTGGGTGTGGTGTGTGGGTGGTGGGGTGTGGGTGTGTTGTGGGGTGGGGTGGTGTGTTGGTGGTGGGTTGGTGTTGGGGGTGTTGGGTTGGTGGGGGTGGTTGGGGGGGTTTGGTGTGGTGGGGTGTTGGTGGTGGTTGTGGGGTTGGTGGGGGGGGGTTGGTGGGTGTGGGGGGTGGTGGGTGTGGGGTTGGTGGGTGTGGGGTGGTTGTGTGGTGTGGTGGGGTTGGTGGTTGTGGGTGGGTGGGTGTGTGGGGTGTTGGGTTTGTTGGGGTGGTGTTGGGGTGTGGGGGGGGGTGTGGGGGGTTGGGTGGGTGGTGGTGTGTGGGTGTGGTGTGGGGGTGTGGGGTGGTTGGTGTGGGGGGTGGGTGTGGGTTGGTGGGTGGGGTGTGGTGGGGTTGTGGTGGGTGGGGTGGGGTGTTGGGGTGGGTTGGTGTGGTGGTGGGGGTGGGTTGGGTGTGGGGGTGTGTGGGTTGTGTGGTGGTGGGGTGTTGGGGGGGGTTGTGGGTGGTGTGTGGGTGTTGGGGTGTGGGTTGGTGTGGGTTGGGTGGGGTTGTGGGGTGGGGGTGGGGTGGTGGTGGGGGGTGGGGGTGGTTGTGTTGGGTGGTGGGTTGTGGGTGTGGGGGTGTGTGGTGTGGTTGGTGTGGGGTGGTTGTGTGGGGTGTTGTGGTGGGTGTTGGTGTGGGGTTGGGTGGTGGTTGTGGGTGTTTGGTGGGTGGGGGGTGTGGGTTGTGGGTTGTGGTGGTGGGGTGGGTGGGGTGGTGGGGGGGTGGGTGTGTGGGTGTGGTGGTGGTTGTGTGGGGGTGGGGTTGGTGGGGTGGGTGGTGGTGGGGTGTTGGGGTGGGTGTGTTGGGGGGGTGGTTGGGGGTGTGGGTGTGGGGTGGTGTGTGTGGGTGGGGGTGTTGGGTTGGGTGGTGGTTGTTGTGTTGTGGGTGGGGGTGTGGGGGTGGTGTGTTGGGGGGTGGGGTGGTGGGGGGGTGTTGGTGGTTGTGGGGGTGGTGGGTGTGTGGGGTGGGTGGGTTGGGGTGGGGGTGTTGTGGGGGTGGGTGTGGGGTGGTGGGGGTGTGTGGGGTGGGGTGGGTGTTGTTGTGGTGGGGTTTGGGGGTGGGGTTTGGTGGTGTGGGGGGGTTGTGGGTGGTGGGTGGGGTGGGGTTGTTGGTGGGTGGGTGTTGGGGGGTGGGTTTTGGTTGGGTGGTTGGTGGGGGGTTGTGGGTTGGGTTGTGTGGTGTGGGGTGGTGGTGGGGTGTGGGGGGGTGGGTTGGGGGGTTGGGTGGTTGGGTGGGGTTGGGTGGTGTGGGGTGTGTGGGTGGGTGGTGTGGGGGTTTGGGTTGTGTTGGGGGGTGTGGGGTGTGGTGGGTGTTGGGGGGTGTGGGGTGGGTTGTGGTGGGTGGGGTGGTGTGTTGGGGGTGGTGGGGTGGGGGTGTGGGGTGGGTGGGTTGTGGTGGTGGTGTGGGTGGTGGTGGGTTGGTGTGGTTGGGTGGGTTGTGGGGGGTGGTGGGTGGTGGGTGTGGTGGGTGTTGGTGTGTTGGGGGTGGGTTGTGGTGTTGTGGGTGGTTGTGGGGGGTGTGGTGGTGTGGTGTTGGTGGTGTGGGGTGGGTGGTGTGGGGTGTTGTGGGGTGTGGGGTTGGTGTTGGGGGTGGGTGTGGTGGGTGGTGGTTGGGTGGGGGTGGGGTGTGGTTGTGGGGTGTGGGTGTGGGGTTGGTTGTGTGGGGGTGTGGTTGGTGGGTGGGTTGTGGGGGTGGGGTTGTGGTGGGGGGGGTTGGTGTTGGGTGTGGGGGTGTTTGGTGGGGGTGGGTGGTGGGGGGGGTGTGGGGTGGGTGGTTGGTGGGGTGGTGGGGTGGTGGTGTGGGGTTTGGGGGTGGGGGGGGGGTGGGGGTGTGGTTGTTGGGGTTGTTGGTGTGTGGGTGGGGTGTGGGGGGTGTGTGGTTGGGTGGTGGTGTGGGGGGGTTGGTGGTGGGGTGGTGGGGGTTGTTGGTGGGTTGGGGGGTTGGTGGTTGGGGTTTGTGGGTGGGGGGGGTTGGGGTGTGGGTGTGGTTGGGGTGTGGGGTGTGGGTGGGGTGTGGGTTGGGTTTGGGGGGTGTTGGGTGGGTGTGGTGGTGGTTGTGGGGGGGTGTGTGGGTGGGGTTGGTGGGTGTGGGGTGGTGGTGGTGTGGGGTGGGGTGTTGTGTGGGGTGTGGGGGGGTGGTTGGGGGTGGGGGGTTGGTGGGTGGTGTGGGTTGGGTGTTGGGGGGGGTGGTTGTGGGTGGGTGGGTGGGGGGTGTGGGGGTGTTGTGTGGGTGGTGGGTGTGTGGGTTGGTGGGTGTTGGGGTTGTGGGTGTGGGTTGTTTGGTGGTTGGTGGGTTGGGGTGGGTGGGGGTGGTTGGGGGGGTTGGTGGTGGTGTGGGGGGGTTGGGGGTGGGGTGGGTTTTGTGGGGGTGTGGGGGTGGTTGTGGGGGTTGGGTGGTGTGGTGTGTGGGGTGGGGGTGGTGTTGGGGGTGGGTGTTGTGGTGTTTGGTTGGGGTGGTTGGTGGGGGTGTTGGGGTGGGGGTTGTGGTGTGGGGGTGTGGGTTGTGGTGGGTGGGGGGGGTTGTGGGTGGGGTGGTTGGGGGGGGTGTGGGTGTTGGGGGGTGGGGGTGGTGTTGGGTGGGGGGGTGGGGGGTTGTGGGGTTGGGTGGTGGGTGGTGGGTGGTTGGTGGGTGGTGGTTGGGGGTTGGGGGGGGGTGGTGTTGGTGGTGGGTTGTGGGTTGTGGGGTGGGTGTGTGGGTGGGGGTGGTTGTGGGTGTGGTGGTGGTGTGTGTGGGTTGGGTGGGGTGTGGTGTGTTGGGGGGGGTGGTTGTGGGGTGGTGTGGGTGTTTGGTGTGGGTGGGGTGTTGGGGGTGGGGGTGTGGTGGGGGGTGTGGTGGGTGTTGGGGTTTGGGTGGGGTGTGGTTGGTGTGGTGGTGGGGTTGGTGTGGTTGTGGGGTTGGGTTGGTGTGGGTGGGTTGTGGGTGTGGTGGGTGGTTGGGTGGTGGTGGGGTTGGGGGGTGTTGGGTGGGGGGTTTGTGGTGGTTGTGGTTGGTGTGGGGTTTGGTTGGGTGGGTGTTGTGGGGGTGGGTGGGTGGTGTGTGGGTGTGTGGGGTGGGGGGTGTGTTGTGGTGGTTGGGTGTGGTTGGTGGGGGGGGTGGGGTTTGGTGGTTGGTGTGGGGGTGGGTTGGGGTGTGTGTGGGTTGGTGGTGGGTGGGGGGTTGGTGGGTGTTGGGTGTGGGTGGGTTGTGGGGGTGGGTGTGGGGGTGTGGGGTGTGGGGTTTGGGGGTGGTGTGGGTGGTGGGTGTGGTGTGGTGGTGGTTGGTGTGGGGGTGGGGTGGGGGGTGGTGGTGTTGGTGGGTGGTGTTGTGGTGGGGGTGGGGTTGTTGGGTTGTGGTGTTGGGTGGTGGGGGTTGTGGTTGGTGTGGGGTTGTGGTTGGTGGTGTGGGTGGGTGTGTGGGTGTTGGTGGTGGTGTTGGGGGTTGGTGGTGGGTGGTGTGGGGGGTGGGTTGGGTTGTGTGGGGTGGTGTTGGGGGTGTGTGGTTGTGGGGTTGTGTGGGGGTGTGGGTGGTGTGGTGTTGTTGGGGTGTGTGTTGGGGGGGTGTGGTTGGTTGTGGTGGGGGTGTGGTGGGGTGTGGGGGGGTGGGGTGTGGTGGGTTGGGGTTGGTGGGTGTGTTTGGTGGGTGGTGTGTTGGTGTGGGTTGGTGGGGGGGTGGGTGGTGGGGGTGTGGTTGGGTGGTGTGTTGGTGGGGTGGGTTGGGTGGTGGGTTGTGGGGGTGGTGGGGTGGGTGGGGTGTGGGTGGGGTGGGGGTGTGGTTTGGGTGTGGGTGGTGTTGTGGGTGTGGGGTGGTGTGGTGGTTGTGGGTGGTGGTTGTTGGGTGTGGTGTTGTTGGGTGTGGTTGGGTGTGGTTGTGGGTGGGTTTGTGGGGTGTGGGGGTGTGTGGGTGTTGGGGTGGTGGTGGGGTGGGGGTGTTGGGTTGGGTGGTGTGGTGGTGGGGTGTGGGGTGGGTGTTGTGTGGTGGGTGTTGTGGGGGGTGTGGGTTGGGGGTGGTGGGGGTTGTGGTGTGGGTTGTGTTGTTGTGGGGGTGGTGGTGTGGGGTGTGGTTGGGGTGGGTGGTGGGGTGTGGTGGTGTGGGTTGTGGGGTTGGTTGTGTTGGGGTGTGGGGTGTGGGGTGTGTTTGGGTGGGTGGGGTGTGTGGGGGTGTTGGTGGTTGGTGGGGTGTGTGGGGGGGTGGTGGTGGGTGTTGTGGGGTGGGGGTGGTGGTTGGTGTGGGGTTGTTGTGGGTGGGTTGGGGGTGGGGGTTGGTGTGGGTGGTGGGTGGTTGGGGTGTGGGGGGTTGTGGGTGGGGTTGGTGGTGGTGGGGGTGTTGGTGTGGGTGTGGTGGGTGTGTTGGGGGGGTGGTGGGGTGGGTGGTTGTGGGGTGTGGGGTGTTGTGGTGGGTGGTTGGGGTGTGGGGGGGTGTTGGGTGGTTGTGGGGTGTGGTGGTGGGGGGTGTGGGGTGGTGTGGGGGTGTGTGGTGGGGGGGGTGGGTTGTGGGGTGGTGGGGTGTTGTGGGGTTGGGGGTGTGGGTGTTGTGGTGGGGTGTGGGGTGGGGGTGGTGTGTTGGGGGTGGGGGGGTGTGTGTGGGGGGTGGTTGGTGTGTGGTGGGGGTTGTGTGGTGGGTTGGGGTGTTGTTGGGGTGGGGTGGGGGTGTGGTGGGGGTGTGGTGGTGGGGGTGGTGGGGGGTGGGGTGTGGGGTGTGGGGGGTTTGGGGTTGGGTTGTGGGGGTGGTTGGGGTTGGGTTGTGTTTGTGGTGTGGGTGTGGGGGGTGTGGGTGTGGGTGGGGGTGGGTGGGGGTTGTGGTTTGGGGGTGTGGTGGTTGGGTGTTTGTGTGGTGGTGGTGTTGGTTGGGGTGGGGTGGTGGGTGGGGGTTGTGGGGTGTGGGTTGGTGGGTGTTGTGGGTGGGGGTGTGGGGTGGGGTGGTGTGGGGTGTGGGGGGGTGGTGGTGTGTGTGGTTGGGTGTGGGTGGTTGGGGTGGTGGGTGGGTGTGGGTTGGTGGGTGTTGGGTGGTGGGGTGGTTGGTGTGTGGGGGTGGGGGTGTGGGGTGTGGGTGGTGTGGGGGGGTGGTGTGGGTGGGGTGGTGGGGTGTGGGGTGTGGGTGGTGTGGGGGTGGTTGGTGGGTGTGTGGTGGGGGTGGTTGGGGTGTGGGTGGTGGGTGGGGGTGGTGTGGGGGGGGGGGTGTGTGGTGTGGTTGGGGTGGTGGGGGGGTTGGGTGGTTGGTGTGGGGTGTTGTGTGTGGGGGTGGTGGTGGTTTGGGTGTGTTGGGGTGGGTGGTGTGGGTGGGTGTGGTGGGTGTGGGTGGGGGTGGTTGGTGGGGGGTGGTGGGGGTTGGTGTGGGTGGGTGGTGGTGTGGGTGGGGTGTTGTGGTGGTGGGTTGGTGTGGGGTGTGTTTGTGTGTGGGTGGGGGGTGGGTGTGGGTGGTGGTGGGGTGTGGTGGGGGGTTGGTGTGGGGTGGGTGTGTTGGGTGGGGTGTGGGGTGTGTTGGGTGGGGTGGTGGGTTGTGTGGGTGGGGGTGGGGTGGGGTGGTGGGTGTGGGGTGGTGGGTTGGTGTTGGGGGGGGGTGGGTGGTGGGGTGGGTTGTGTGTGGGGGTGGGTGGGTGTGGGGTTGGGTGTTGTGGGGTGTGGGGGTTGTGGTGGGTGTGGGGGTTGTGGGTGGGTGGGGTGTGGGGGGTTGGTGGGGTGGGGGTGTGGGGTGTGGTGGTGTGGGTGGTGTGTGGTGTTGTGGGGTTGGTGTGGGTGGGGGGTGGGTGTGTGGGTGGGGTTGGGGTGGGTTGTGTTGGTGTGTGGGTGGGTTGGGGGGGGTTGGGGTGTGTGGGTGGGGGTGGTTGGTGGGGTGGGTGGGGTTGGGGTGGTGGGTGGGGTGTGGGGGTGGTGTGGGTTGTGGGGTGGTTGGTTGGGTGGTGTGGTTGGGTGGTTTGTGGGTGGGGGTGTGGGTTGTGTTGGGGGGGGTGGGTGGGGTGGTTTGGGGTGGTTGGGGGTGGTGGGGGTGTGGTGTGGGTGGGTGGGTTGGGGGTGGGGTTGGGGTGGGTGGTGGGGGTGGGTTGTGGTGTGGGTGTTGTGGGTGTTTGGTGGTGGGTGGGGTTGGGGGGTTGGGTGGGTTGTGGGGTGTGGGGGGGTGGGGGTTGGTGTGGGGTGGTTGTGGTGGGGGGGTGTGGTGGGGTGGGGGTGTGGGTGGGTTGTGGTGTGGGTGGGGTTGTGGTGGGGGTTGGGTGGGTGTGGGGTGGGGTGGGGGGTTGTGGTGGGGGGTGGTGTGGGTTGGTGTGGGGTGTGGTTGGTTGGGGTGGGTGGGTGTGGGGTGTGGTGGGGGTTGGTGGGTGTGTGGGTGGTGGTGGGGGTGTGTGGTTGGGGGGGGTGTGGTGGGGTTGTGGGTGGGTGGTGGTGGGGGTGTGTGGGTGTTGTGGGGTGTTGGTGGTGGGGGGTGGTTGGGGGTGTGGGTGTGGGGGTGTGGTGGGGTGGGTTGTGGTGTGGTGGTTGGGTGGTGGGGTGGGTTGGGTGTGGTGGGGTGGGTGGTGGGGTTGGTGTGTTGTGGGGGGGGGTTGGTGTGGTGTGGTTGTGGTGGTGGGGTGGGTGTGTGGGGTGTGTTGGGGGGGGTTGGGGTGTGGGTTGGGTTGTGGGTGTGTGTGGGTGTTGTGGTGGGGGTGTTGTGGTGGGTGTGTGTGGTTGTGGGTGGTGGTTGTGGTGGTGGGGGTGGGTTGGGGGGGGGTGGGGTGTGGTGGGGTGGTGGGTGGGGGTTGTGGTGGTTTTGTGGTGTGTGGGGTGGGTGTGGTGTGTGTGGGTTGGTGTGGTGGGGTGGGGTGTGGTGTGGGGTGGGTGTGTGGGGTGTGGGTGGGGGTGGTTGGGGGTGTGTGGGGGGGGTGTGGGTTGTGGTGTGTGGGTTTTGGTGTGGGGGGTGTGTGGGTGTGGGTGTGGTGTGGTTGGTGGGGTGGGTGGGTGGTTGGGGGGGTGTGGTTGTGTGTGGGGTTTGTGGGTGGTGTTTGTGGGTGTGGTGGGGTTTGTGGTGGGGTTGGTTGTGGGGTGGGTGTTGGTTGGGGTGGGGGGTGGTTGGGTGGGTGTGGTGTTGGGGGTGGGTGTGGTTGGGGTTTGGGGGGTTGTGGGGTGTGTGGGTGGGGGTGTGGTGTGGGTGGGGGGTTGGGGGTGTGTGTGGGGTGGGGTGGGGTTGTGTGGTTTGGTGGTGGGGGGTGGTGGGGTGGGGGTGTGGTGGGGGTGGTTGGGGGGTGGGGTGGTTGGTGGGTGGGGTGTGTGGGGTGGGTGTGTGGGGTGGGGGGGTGGGTGGTGGGGGTGGGTGTTGGGGTGTGGGTGGGGGTGGTGGGGTGGTTGTGGGGTTGGGTGGGTGTGGGTGGTGGGTGGTGGGGGGTGTGGTGTGGTTGGGGGGGTGTGTGGGGGTTGTGGGTGGTGGTGTGTTGGGGTGGGGGTTGGTGGGTGGTTTGTGTGGTGGGTTGTGGGTGGGGTTGTGGGTGGTGGGTGGTTTGTGGTTGGGTGTTGGGGTGGTGGGTGTTTGGTGGTGGGTGTGGTTGGTGTGGTGTTGGGGGTGGGTGGGGTGTTGGTGGGGGTTGTTGGGGGGTTGGTGTTGGTGTTGGTGGTGGGTGTGGGTGGGTGGTGTGGGGGTGGGTGGGGGTTGGTGGTTGGGGTGTGGGGTGGGGGGTTGTGGTGTGGGTGTTGGGTGTTGGGGGGTGTGTGGGGGTGTTGGTGGGTGTGGTGGGGTTTGGTGTGGTGGGGTGGGTTGGTGGTGGGGGGGTGGTGGGTTGGGGGGGTGGGGTGGGTTGTGGGGTGGTTGTGGGGGTTGTGGGGTGGTTGGGTTGTTGGGGGTGGGGTGGTGGGGTTGGTGTGGGGGTGGTTGTGGTGGGGTGTTGTGGTGGGTGTGGTGGGTGGTGTGTTTGGTGGGGTGGGGTGGGTGTGGTGGGGGGGTGTGGGGTTTGGTGGTGTGGTGTTGGTTGGGTTGTGGGGGGGGGTGGTGGGGGTGTGGTTGGTGGGGGTGGTGGGGGGTGTGGTGGGGGGTGGGTGGGGTTGTGTTGGTGGTGGGGTGGTGGGGTGGGTTGGTGTGGGGGGGGGTTGGTGGGTGTGGGTGTTGGGTTGGGTTGTGGGTGGTGGGTTGTGGTTGTTTGGGGTGTGTGTGGGTGGGGGGGGTTGGTGGTTGGGTGTGGTGGTTGGGGGTGTGGGTGGGGGTGGGTGTGGGGTGGGGTTGGGGGGTGGGGTGGTGTTGGGGGTGGGTGGTGGGTGGTGGTGGGGTGTGTGGGGGTGGGGGTGGGGGTTGTGGGGGGTGTGGGTGGGGGGGGTGTGGGTGGGGGTTTGGTGGTTGGTGGGGGTGTGGGTGGTGTGGGTGGGTGGGGTGTGGGTTTGGTGGGGTGGTGGGTTGGTGTGGGTGGGTGGGGGTGTGGGTGGGGGTTGGTGGGTGGTTGGTGGGGGTGGGGTGGTGGGTGTTGGTGGTTGGGGGGGTGGTTGGGGGTGGTGTTGGTGTGGGGTGTGGGGTGTGGGTGGGGTGGTTGTGGTGTGGGTTGTGGGTGGGGGGGTTGGTGTGGTGTGGGGGGTTGGTGGGTGGGGTGTGTGGGTGTGTGGGGGGGTGTGGTGGTGGGGTGTTGGGTGGGTGTGTGGTTGGTGGGTTGTGGGTGGGTGTTGGGGTGGTGTGGGTTGGGTGGTGGGTGGGGTTGTGGGTGGGGTGGTGGTGGGTGTGGGGGGGGGTGTTGTGGTGGGTGGGGTGGTGGGTTTGGGGTTTGGTGTGGTGGGTGGGGTGGTGGTTGGGTGGGGTGGGGGTTTGGTGGGTGTGTGGTGGGTGTGTGGTGGGTGGGGTGGGGGTTGTGGGGGTGTGGGTGGTGGGTGTGTGTGGGTGTGGTGGGGGGTGGGGTGTTGGGGGGGTGGGTGTGGTGTGTGGTTGGGGTGTTGTGGTGGGGTGGTGGTTGGTGTGTGGGGGTGGTGGTGGGTGGGGGTTTGGTGGGTTGTGGTGGGTGGGGGTGGTGTGGTGGTGTGTGGGTGGGTGGTGGGTTGGTGGGTGTGTTGTGGGTGGGGGTGGTTGGGGGTGGTGTGGGTGGTGGTTGGGTGGTGGGGGGTGGTTTGGGGGTGTGGGGGGTGTTGGTGGTGGTGTGTTGGTGGGTTGGTGGGTTGGGGGGGTTGTGGGTTGGTGGGTGGGGTGGGTGGGGTGTTGGGGGTGGTGGGTGTGGGTGGGGTTGTGGGGTGGGGGGGTGGTGGGGTGGGGTTGTTGGGTGGTGGTGGTTGGGGTGGTTGGGTGTGGTGGGGGGGTGGTGTTGGGTTGTGGTGGTGGGTGTGGGGTGGGGGGTTGTGTGGGGTTGTGGGTGTGGTGGGGGTGGTGGGGGTGTGGGGTGGGTGTGGGTGTGGGTGGGGTGTGGGGTGGGTGTGTGGGGGTTGGTGGTGGGGGTGTGGTGGTTGTGGTGGTTGTGGGTGGTGGGGTGGTGGGGGGGGTGTTGTGTTGTGTGTTGTGGGGGGGTTGGTGGGGTTTGGGTGGGTGTGGTGGGGGGGTTGGTGGGTGGTTGGGTGTTGGTGGTGGGGGGTGTTGGTGGGTGGGGGGTGTGGTTGGTTGTGGTGTGGGGTGTGGTGTGGGGTGGGTGTTGTGGGTGTGGGTGGTGGTGGGTGGTTGGGGTGGGTGGGGTGGGGTGGGTGGTTGTTGGTGTGTGGTGGGGTGGTTGGTTGGGGTGGGTGTTGGGTGGTTGTGGTGGTGTGGTGGGGGGTGGTGGGTTGGGGGTGTTGTGGTTGTGGGGTGGTGTGGGTTGGGTGGTGGTGGGGGGGTGTGGTTGTGGGTGGGGGGGTGGTGGGTTTGGGTGGTGTTGGGTTGTGTTGGTGGTGGTGGGGTGTTGGTGTTTGGGTGGTGTGGGTGTGGGTGTGGGTGGTTGGGGGGTGGTGGGTTGTGTTGGGTGGGTGGTGGGTTGGGGGGTGTGGTGGGTGTGGGGTGGTTGGGGTGTGGTGTGGGTTGTGGGTGGTGTGGGGGGGGGTTGGGGTGGGGGTGGTGGGGTGGTGGTTGGGGTGTGGGTGTGTGGGGGGGGGTGGTGTGGGTGTGGGGTGGGGGTGGGGGTTTGGTGGTGTGTTGGTGTGGGGTGGGGGTGTGGTGGTGGGGTGTGGGTGGTGGGTTGTGGTGGTTGTGTGGGTGGTTGTGGGGTGGGGGGGGGTGGGTGTGTGGGGGGTGGGTGGGGTGTGGGTGGGTTGGGGGTGTGGGGGGGGGTGTGGGGTTGTGGGGTGTGGTTGTGGGGGTGGGTTGGGGTGTTGGTGGTGGGGGTGTGTTGGTGTTGGGGTGGGTGGGGGTGTTGGTGGTGGGTGGGTGTTTGTGTGGTGTTGGGGTGGGTGGGGTGTGGGGTGGTGTGGGTGGGGTGGTGGGGGTGTGGTGGGTGGTTGTGTGGGTGGGTGGGGTGGGGTGTGGGGGTGTGTTGGTGGTGGGGGGTGGTGGGGTTTGTGTGTGGGGGTGTTGGGTGGTGTGGGTGTGGGGTGGTGTGGTGGGGGGTTGGGGTGGTTTGTGGGGTGGTGGGGTGGGTGGGGGGTGTGGGTTTGTTGTGGGGTGGGGGGGTGTGGGGGTGGGGTTGGTGTGTGTGGGTGGGTGGTGTGGGTGGGGGTTGTGGTGGGTTGGGGTGGGGTTGGTGTTGGGGGGGGTGGGTGTGGGTGGTTGGTGGTTGTTGTTGGGTGGGGTGGGGTGGGTGTTTGGTGGTGGTGGGTGGTGGGGGGGTTTGGGGGTGGGTGGGGTGGTGTGGGGGGGGGGTTGGTGGTGGTTTGGGTGTGGGTTGGTGTGGTGGGGGGGTGGGGGTGGGTGGGGTGGTTGGTGTGGTGTGTGGTGGTGGGGGTTGGGGTGTTGGTTGTGGTGTGGGGGTGTGGGGTGGTGGGTGTTGTGGTGGTGTTGGGGTGGGGGGGTTGTGGTGGGTGGTGGGGGGGGTGTGGTGGGGGGGTTGGGTGTGGTGGTTGGGTGGTGGGGGGTGGTGTGTGGTGGGGGGTGGGTGGGTGGGGTGGTGGGTGGTGTGTGGGGTGTGGTGGGGGGGTGTGGGGGTGTTGGGGTGGTGTGTTGGTTTGTGTGGGTGGTGGGTGGTGGGGTGTGTGGTGTGGGTGTGGGGGGTTGTGGGTTGTGGGTGTGGTTTGGGGGGGTGGTGGTGTGGGGGGGTTGGGTGGTGGGGGGTGGGGGGGGTGTGGGGGTGGGTTGTGTGGGGTTGGGGGGGGGGGTTGGGGTGGGGGTGTGGGGTGGTGGGGTGGTGGGGTGGTTGGGTGTTGGTGGGGTGGTGGTGGGGTGGGGGGGTGGGGTTTGTTGGTGTGGTTTGGGGTGGGTGGGTTGGGGGTGGGGTGTGTGGGGTGGGGGGGGGGGTGTTGGGTGGGTGGGGGTGGGTGTGGGGGGGTGGGTTGGGGTGTGTGGTGGGGGTGGGGTGTGTGTGGGGGTGGTGGGGGTGGTGGTGGGGGGTGTGGGTGGTGGGGGTGTGTGGGGGGTGTGTGGTGGGGTGGTGGGTGGGGTGTGTGTGGTGGGGGGTGTTGGGGTGGGTGGGGGGTTGGTTGTGGTGGGGTGTGGGGTGGGTTGGGGTGTGGTTGGTGGGGTGGTGGTGTGGTTGGGTGGGTTGTGGGTGTGGTGTGGGTGTGTTTGGTGTTGGGTGGTGGGTGTGGTGTGGGGGGGGTGGTGGTGTGGGGTGGTGGTGGTGTTGTTGTGGTGGTGTTGGGGGTTGGGTGGGGTGGTGGTGTGGGGGGGGGGTTGGGTGGGTGGTTGTGGGGTGTGTTGGGTGGTTTGGGGGGTGGGTGGGTGTGTGTGGGGTGGGGTTGTGGTGGGTGTGTGGTGTGGGGTGTTGGTGGTTGGGGGTGGTGGTGGGGTGTGGGTGTGGGGGTGGGGGTGGTGGTTGTTGGGTTGGGGGGGTTGGGTGGGGGTGGGTGGGGGGGGGGGGTGTGGGTGTGGGGTGGGGTGGGTTTGGGTGGTGTGGGGTGGGGGTGGGGTGGGGGTGGTGGGTGGTGGGGGTGTGGTTGGGGGTTGGGGGGTGGGGTGGGGTGTGGTGGGTGGGGTGGGGGGGTGGGGTTGGTGGTGGGGGTGGTTGGGTGTGTGGTGTGTGGGGGGTTGGGGGGGTGGGGGTGGGTGGTGGTGGTTGGGGTGGGGTGGGTGTGTGGGGTGTGGGTGGTGGGGTGGTGGTGGGGTGGGGGGTGGTGTGTGGGGTGGTGGTGGTGGGGGTGGTTGGGTGGTGTTGGGGGGGGGGGTGTGGGGGTGGGGGTTGGGTGGGGTGTTGGTGTGGTGTGGGGGTGTGGTTGGGTGGTGGTGTGGTGTGGGTTGTGGGGTTGGTGTGGGTTGGGGGTGGGTGGGGGTGGTGTGTGGGTTGGTGTGGTGGGGTGGGGTGGGTGTGGTGGTTGGGGGTGTGGGGTTGTGGGGTGTTGGTGGGGTTGTGTGTTGTGGGTGGGGGGTTGTGGTTGGGGTTGTGGTGGTGGTGGTTGTGGGGGGGGGGTGGGTGGGTGTGTGTGGGGTGTTGGGGGTGGTGTGGGGTTTTGGTGGGGTGTGGTGGGTGTGTGGGTGTGGGGGGGGGTGGGGGTTGTGGGTGGGGTGGGTGGGGTGTGGGGGTGGGGTGGGGTGTTGTGGGTGGGGTGGTGGTGGGGGTGGGGTGGGGGTTGGGGGGTGGTGGGTGGGGGGGGTGGTGGGGGGGGTGGGGGGGTGGGGGGTGTGGGGTGGGTGGGGGGGGGGTGGGGGGTGGGGTGGGTGGGGGTGTGGGGTGTGTTGGGGTGGGGGGTGGGGTGGGGTGTTGGGGGTGGTGTGGTGGGGGGTGTGGGTGGGGGGGTGTGGGGGGTGGTGGGGGTGGTGGGGTTGTGGTGGGGGTGTGGGTGGGGGTGGTTGGGGTGGGTGGTGTGGGGTTGGGGTGGTGGGGGGGGGTTGGGGTGGGTGGTTGGGGGTTGGTGGGTTGGGTGTGTGGGGGGGGGGTGGGGGGGGGGTGGTGGGGGGGTGGGTTGGGGTGGTGGGGGTTGGGTGTGGGTGGGTGGGGTGGGTGGGGGTGGGGTGGTTGGGGTGGTGGGGGTGGGGGTGGGTGGGTGGGTGGTTGGGGGGGGTGGGGTTGGGGGGTGGGGGGTGGTGTGGTGTGGGTGGTGGGTGTGGGGGGTGGTGGGGGGGGGGGTGGGGGGGGGGGGTGTGGTGGGTTGGGTGGTGGGGTGGGTGGGGGTGGGTTGGGGGGGGTGGGGGTGGGGTGGGGGGTTGGGGGGGTGGGGGGGGGTGTGGGTTGGGGGTGGGGGGGTGTGGGGGGTGGTGTGGGGGGGGGTTGGGGGGGGGTGGGGTGGTGGGGTGTGGGGGGTGGGGGTTGGGGGGGGTGGGTGGGGGGGGGGTGGGTGGGGGGGTTGGGGGTGGGGGGTTGGGTGGGGGGGTGGGGGGTGGTGGTGGGGTGGGGGGGGGGGTTGGTGGGGTGTGGGTGGTGGGGGGGTGGGTGGGGGGGGGGTGGGGGTGGGGGGGGTGGTGGGGTGGGGTGGGTGGGGGGGTTGGGGGGTGGGGTGGGTGGGTGTGGTGGGTGGTGGGGGGTTGTGGGTTGGGGTGTTGTGGGGGGGGTGTGGGGGGTGTGGTGGTGGGGGGGGGGGTGGGGTGGGTGGGGGTGGGGGTGTGGTGGGGTGGGGGGGGGGGGTGGTGGGGGTGGGGGTGGTGGGGGGTGGTGGGGGTGGGTGGGTGGGGGGGGTGTGGGGGGGGTGGGGGGTGTGGGGGGGGGGGGTGGGGTGTGGTGGGGTGGTGGGGGGGGTGGGGGTGGTGTTGGGGGTTGTGGGGGGTGGGGTGGGGGGGGGGGGGTGTGTGGTGGGGGGTGGGTGGGGGTTGGGGTGGGGGTGGGGTGGGGGTGGGGGGTGGGGGTGGGGTGGGGGGGGTTGGTGGGGGGGGGGTGGGGGGTGGGTGGGGTGGGGGGTGGTTGGGGTGGTGGGGTGGGGTGGGTGGTGGGGTGGGGGGTGGGGTGGTGTTGTGTGGGTGGGGTGGGGGGGGTGGGGGGGTGGGGTATCTACATGTCATTGTTTTGTCTGGAATGTTCCACTTGTGTACTCAACCATGAGGTACATTACCAATCATATCTGCAGAGTGCCTCTGCTGATTTTGATTAGTCTTAAGATGTTGTAAAACATTATTTTCTTATTTTAACCAAACAGAGGCAGGCGTGTCCAAATGATCTGCACCCAGTCACAAGGTTTGATGCATTTTTGACCAGTTTACAACTAGTCTACTCTTTAAATCCAAATGTCATCTTACTTTGTTCCATTTTAAATGATACATTTTTACAAGGTTCCCTCTGCCGCTTATTCTAAAACACTTTGGACACCCCTGAAGCATACAATTTCAATTTATAATTGAATAACACCACACTTTGCCTTCATAATTCAATACAATAACCTGTAAATTATCAGCAACGTTTACTACATATCAGCTGAGGTTTAACTACCCTCTATTAAGTACATTTTATTACTATGTGTTATTTCTTTCTTTATTATTGTGTCCTGGATACATATTATGTGTAATGTGAAATTTTATAGTTTTAATGAATACAATTCACCTGCAGACATTGACCGCTCCAGATGGATGCTCCTTAGGGAAGGTCAAATATGAAGTTATGGGCTGAAGCTTTTCTATTTCAATTTTTATTCGTTAGTCTGTTTTAAAGGTCGGATGCACTGAAGACGCTTGGAAAATGACAAACAGACTGGGGCAGTGCAGGTGAAGTGCTGTACAGAATGTGTGGTAATTTGCTTCAGATTCAGATACATTTTATTTGCCATTTGCAGAAAAATACATGTGCAAGAGACAAGTACATACATACACAAGGTTAAAAGTACAGGAATAAAACAAACAAAAAAAAGTGCAGGAAACAGCTTGTGGAAAAAGCATAACGAGATGTCCTGCATCTCAATGAACAATATCTTCTGCCAGAGGAAAGAAGCTGGAAACATGGCTTTTCCAGGGTGACCAGAAGAGTCATTGGTTATTTTAAGAGATCGGTTTAACTACTTTTTCCCCTTGCAACGCCTATTAGGAACAAACACATGCATGATTATAGGGCTACCCATAATGCAGTTTTACATGATTAAATCATCTTACTAGATTATTGAATTCCCATGAACTAACTACATGTTGGTTCATGGATGACTTCATCCATGAATTAATGGTTGAACTATTGTAATGAATTTACATGAAAATCTTTAAAAGAATCATCATGATCATTGATCAAATTTACTGAAAAAGGAAATTACCACAAAATCATCAACCTATCATGATCAAACATGAACATCATGAATCGCGGAAATCTACTAGTAAATTATGACGACACAATCATTAACTCATCATTAGCTAATGCTTAATACATCATGATTTCATTATATTTACTAATGCTTAATACATCATTATTTGCTTATGATTGTGTCCCCTCAACTAAAGTGAAGCAATGATTTATGGGTTGTTCCTTCAAATGCAGCCTCGCGGAAATTCAATTCTGGAAGACGTCAGCCAAAGCCACCCCTTCCAGGCCGGCCTCGCATCCCAGCTTATCGCACAGCAAACGCCTATTTCCAACCAACCTATGCCGGCCAGGCCAGCCGCTTAAAAGCGGAGAAACTCCCACTTTACGGCCTCCTCGAAGCCTTGCAAACCACCGCCTCCCCTCCTCCTCCCTTTTCTCACCCTGCCTCAATCATGCCTCTTCCTGCTGCCCGAATGCCGCCACCAGTGCCTAGGTCCCGGGGGATTGTGCGCGCACTCTCGCAGGAGCCTCGCTGACTGAACGTCGCACCGGGGCCTAGGGCGCTAAACTACCTTTCAATAAAAAACTTCAAATGCATTTTGTCTCCTCAAAGTCTCTCCAGATTGAATTATTTTACAAACTAATTTGAATGGGAGTGTTACTCAACAAAGAAACCTTTTATTACTTCAGGTGCAGCAATGGAGGTCTTATTTGGTTATGCTGTGCGTGTGATAGTTTGTAAAATAAATTGAAGAAACAACCCATAAATTTACTTTACTTTTAAAAGACTGATTGGCAAAATGCACTGTATTTAAGCACTTTAACGCAAGAAGATTAGATGAGATATAAAGACAAGCTAAAAATAAGTATATGAGACCGAACTGAACAAATTGTAAGCTCATATGAGACCTGGGATGATGACAAACATCGGTCAGAAGATTTTCATGTAAATTCATTACAGTAGTTCAACCATTAATTCATGGATGAAGTCATCCATGAACCAACATGTAATCATGTTAGTTCATGGGAATTCATGATCTAGTAATTCATGAATGTATCATGAACTAATGCATTAATTCATGCATTAGTTCATCATGCATGAACTCATGTACCATTAATATAAAGTGTTACCAAAAGTTAATCTCTTGCTTTCGCCGAATGCATTGGGTCTCTGTGTCCACTGGCTCTCCCGCGTCGCACATGCTATTCCTCGCACGCACGTGCATAAGCATTGACACAGCATTGAAATACAATCTATAGATCCATGGACGCTACGCATGGTGCGGTTGTTGTTTTTGCATTTCCCAGAATGTTTTGCGGTTCATACTTGCTGGGATAGGTCGAGAAGGCTCTGCCTACGTCCCCCAGAATGCTGCGCGCTTCTTACTTGGTCGGCACTAGATCATAAACGGAATCGGGACAAAACCGGAAGTAACAATCCTACTTTTGAATTAGTTTTAGACTAATAAGTCCTTAAGTGGTGACTGGTTAAGTTTTAGGTGTCTGAGTAAGATGGTTAAGGTTAAGAGTGGTTTGGGGTTATTTTATGGGAATGGCTGGTTTAGGGTTAGGGTTAGGGTCTCTCACACTTCAACTGTGAGAGACAGAATGTGAAAAAAAAATCCAGGAATTCACATTGTAGGATTTTTAAAGAATTTATTTGTAAATTATGGTGGAAAATAAGTATTTGGTCAATAACAACAATTTAACTCAATACTTTGTAATATAACCTTTGTTGTCAATAACAGGTCAAAGGATTACTATAGGTCTTTACCAGGTTTGCACACACAGTAGCTGGTATTTTGGCCCATTCCTCCATGCAGATCTTCCTGAGAGCAGTGATGTTTTGGGGCTGTCGCAGAGTAACATGGACTTTCAACTCCCTCCACAGATTTTCAATGGGGTTGAGGTCTGGAGACTGGCTAGGCCACTCCAGGACTTTCAAATGCTTCTTACGGAGCTACTCCTTCGTTGCCTGGGCGGTGTGTTTGGGATCATTGTGGGATTTTTGATCACCGTCCTCATGATCATTTTGACCCCACGGGATGAGATCTTGCGTGGAGCCCCAGATCGAGGGAGATTATCAGTGGTCTTAGTTGTCTTCCATTTTCTGATAATTGCTCCCACAGTTGATTTGTTCACACCAAGCTGCTTGCCTATTGTAGATTCACTCTTCCCAGTCTGGTGCAGGTCTACAGTTCTTTTCCTGGTGTCCTTCGACAGCTCTTTGGTCTTGGCCATAGTGGAGTTTGGAGTCTGACTGTTTGAGGCTGTGGACAGGTGTCTTTTATACAGATAACTGAGTTCAAACAGGTGCCATTAATACAGGTAACAGACGGAGGACAGAAGAGCTTCTTAAAGAAGAAGTTACAGGTCTGTGAGAGCCAGAGATCTTCCTTGTTTGAAGTGACCAAATACTTATTTTCCACCATAATTTACAAATAAATTCTTTAAAAATCCTACAATGTGAATTCCTGGATTTTTTTTCACATTCTGTCTCTCACAGTTGAAGTGTACCTATGATGAAAATTACAGACCTCTGTCATTATTTTAAGTGACCACAGGGGTGTGAAAACAGCCCACGGTCACATGAACGTGTTCTCTGAACCGTGCCGGAGCAACTTAACTGCAGTACAACGCCCGGTCCAGCTGGTGCGGCTAATAATAACTTCAGCGACTACCACATTGTTCGAGTTGAGTTTCTGCTTCTTTTCCTATTTACATTCTGCTACTGTGGCTAACAGCTACTGTAGCTAATAGCTACTGTAGCTAATAGCTACTGTAGCTAACAGGCTCAAGCATGCAACGCGTTGTTTGCATCAGAGCAATGTGAACAAGTGTGAGATATGTCTTTCCCCAAAATGTAGCGGTGGGACACGTGTGTGTTATCTGTGTGTGCGGGCGCGCCGCAGACACGAGAGCGCGCCTTTATAGTAACGAGCGTAAAGCGCTAAGAATGAATTTCCCTGGGACTTAAATGTTTTTCTTCACAAAGTTATAACGCTTATATTTAATTATAGTATAAATTATGTAACAAACAAAAATAGTGACGTTTGTTCCTCAAATTGTGACCAGGTATTATGTATATGAGCGATCGCTATTTTCATCTGGGCATTTGGGATGCCAAAGGACAATTCTGTTGCCATTAGTTTAGAAGAGAGTTAGCTAGACCTATAGGTCGACTCACATTTTAGATTTCCCTACCGTTCTGTAACTTGTGATGCAATACTGAACATTCCCCTTTTGTGGTGAATAAATAATCTCAATGATAAAGCCGTTGAGTTATTTATTATGCATTCACAATACAACACATAACCCCTTTTATCAACACATTCAACAGAAAAGAGTTCCATGTCCTCAATCCGAGAGAAGACCAACTTGAAGGGCTCCAAGGGATTATTCATGTTCTATACTACGGGAGTTCCCGATGGCGACAGACGAAGAAGGTGCGGCCAGACCAAGCTTCGCCGCAAGGACCAGCACGACCTCTGTTTCGTGTGCCTGGGCTGGAGCCATGCGCAGGAGAGCGCTGCCTGCGGAGCCTGCCTCGCTCTCCCTAGGGAGGAGAGAGAGCCCAGGACCTTCTTGCTGAGAAGCGAGAGTGCTATCCACTCAGCTACTGTGCCGGCCACATGCATCAAATGCGTTAAAATTTTTAACGCAATTAAATTAAAAATTTTATTAACGTGAGTTACCGCAATAATATATATATTAGGGCTGGGACACGATTAATTTTTTAAATCTAATTAATTAGAGGCTTTGTAACTAATTAATCTTGATTAATTGCATTTTAATCGCATATAAATATTTGACCTGAGAACAGTGAGAAGTAATTTTTTTCCACAAGGATTTTTAGTATACCATTGAATAATGACTGAATAGTAATACATAAGTTTAATTAACAAAATATTGTTAATTTTAAATTGGTTATTTAAAAAAGGGGATATGGTATGAAAGTGATATGGCCCAGTTATTGAGGAGAGCCCAGGTTCTTTCAGCGTCCCGGGTCCTGCGGGCACAAAATAGAACAGCGGCAGCGGAGGGGAGGCCAACAGCAAACTGTACACACATTCGGGTGAGGCTCATGTGGCTCGGGGCAGCCAGGCATAACAGTAAATAAAACACTCATAAAAACAAATAAAACCATGCAATAAAACAAGCCATGCAAGAAATAAAACCACTCAATAAAAGTCCACTCTAAAAACATGATAAAATATGCCTGCTTACACTTAGCCACTGTTTGATCAACATTTCAGTAACAACAAGCCCATTGGCCCCAGGATACCTACATGACTACTACTACTTCTCTTTCAGCCAGTTGCTGAGACAAACTAGCCTGTTTACATTTTCAGAGCTCAAGGCTGCCCTTTTCTTCTGAACTATGTGACCTGCCAATGAGAAAAGTATTTCGCAAGGGACAGAAGTGGCAGGGCTGCCCAGTTACTTGCGGGTCAGGGAAGAAAGCTGTGGATGGGCTCCCTCATGAGTGGACCACCACTGCAGTGGGCAATCTGTCTCACTGATGGTGGACTCTGCCCTGTAGCGGGTCAGAGCCCCGTTGGGCCCCTCTTCATCCTCATCCTCTAATTCAGAGTCTGAATGAAACCGCAGGAGGCTCTTCTTCCTTGCTGGCTCCTCCGTGGGTTCTGGAGCGGCTCTGTCTGGATCTTTTCGCAGCAGTGCCTCAATGCTGGTCCACACCTGTCCTCGCTCTCCTCTTGGTAGACACTTTAGGTCCTTCGAATTAGAATCAGTCAGGTTTATTGTCAGACCCATAGATCAAAGATGGGTGAAATTCATTTTCATACATGGTTTCCATAGAAAGAAGGAGGGGGGGGGGGGGGGGGGGGTAAATGGGCTCAAAAAGCAGGAGAAAAGAAAAACAAAGAAGTAGTAAGTAATCTTTATTTATATACCGCCTTTTCACTGCAGATCTGAGTCTCAAAGCGGTTTACAATTGTTTGTTTTTTTTTTTGGGCATTTGTCTCTCACTCCACACAGAGATGGGAGCGGGGTCGCCAGTACAGGAGGCGCATTCCAGACCTATTGTACATATTTTTATTGGTAGGGAAACCGGAGTACCCGGAGGAAACCTACGCAGACACGGGGAGAACATGCAAACTCCACTCAGAAAGGCCCTGGTCTGACCGGGATTCGAACCCGGGACCTTCTTGCTGAGAGGCAAGAGTGCTATCCACTCAGCCACCGTGCCGCCCGAAGAAGAAGAAGAAGATTACATATGTTACCTTAATGCGTGAGTCGAGTGCTGTAGCCACCCTGAGTCATTCATGGTTGAGTGTATCCTGGCGTTCAGACAGGTCCTTTTTAAAGGCACCCTTGAACCTCACCACATAGGCCATGTCGTCATCAGAGACTTTAATGGTGTGGGTCAGGTGGCTGAGAGCAGGTAACACAATAGAGCATGAGACAAAGGTCTCACCCCCAAGGAGCTCAGTCACATATCTGCAGAGGAAAAAGATAAATTATTGTGCCAATTAATAGCAGATAGTCATAATGATAGATATTCAGTACAATACATTTAAAAACAGTTGGTGGGTTTTTACCTGCATGGTTTAAGGAGGGTCTCGAGCCTCTGCAGTCTGTCCCACTCTGCTGTAGTTAACATGGTGAGCTTGCGCTTCTTTTTGGCTAGAGTAACCTTGTCAGCCTCTTGGTTTTTTAGCAGACGAGAGATCATAAACAGTGTTGAATTCCACCTTGTGGAAACATCCTGTATCATTTGCTCTTTGTCTTGTTCTAGTTGTGCTTGCTCCTTGTGCAGTTCGTCTGTTTGAGGGGCTATGTTTAAACTACCCCACTATTTTACGACATTTTGCCAATGTGGCTGTGAACCCGCTGTCAGCCAGGCAAACTGTGAGGGTCCTCTGCAACACGTGTGCAACAAACGGAATGTGCTGGAATGTGAGCTGTCTCATTGCAGCGACCATGGTTCAGGCACTATCTGTTCCGATTGTGGTGAATTTTTGTCTGATTTCCCAGGCCTCTGCCACAGACTCAAAATCTTCTGCCACGTTTTCAGCAAAGTGCCTAGTGATGGTCTTCTGCATAGTTAAGGCAAATGCGTGAAGATGCCACTTCATGTCAATAAAGTGTGCCGTCACACCGAGATAATTTGAGTTGCTTACCGAGGTCCAATGATCCGCAGTCAGGGCAACCCACTTGGCTTTCTCCAACAATAAATACTCCTTTTCTTTCTTTTCATCGTCATAAAGCTGCTGGACTCTTTTCGTCACTGTCTTTCTGCATGGCAGCTCGTATTTTGTGTCAGACGACGCAATCTGTAGTACCTTTTGCAGGCGCTGATCTTCTACCACGCCAAGTGGTCTGCAGTTGAGTGCAACCCAGTGAGCCAATGCGTTGGTTATTTTCTCAGACGTGGACTTAGTTACCCTGGTCCTGAAACCAGTCAACTGGTTGAGTGTGGGTTGTGCCTGGAATCCGGCTAGCGTCCCCGCTAGCTGCTATATGTTTTGCAGTGAGGTGATACTTGAGGCTGGAGGTGCTGCGGTGATATGCAAATTCTTTGTTGCATAGCTTGCACACAACCATACTCTCTCAGTGCTGCCATCCGTTCTTTGTTTGAAAAAAAAATTCCCATGCACTGGGCCAACCAATGCGGTCAAATCAGCCTCTCTGTTCATGTTGCTATGATTGCCATGCACGTTTGTTTGGTGCTGCAATATAATCGGTCCGTCTGAAACTACTCCAGTGAGAAACGTTCCGCGATTAAATGCGTCAATTCTTTTAACGCGCTAATTTGTCTGTAGTTAATTAATCGTAATTAATGCGTTAAAGTACCGGCCCTAATATATATATAACAGAGACAACCCTACAATATACTACGTTATTGGAATGTGTCATGGTCATTTTTTAGAAGTTGAAAGACTAGTTGATCCTGGACTCCTGACCCCGAACCAATGACCCCTGGTTGGTTGGCTATAATATTGATCCTAGGCATCATCAGATCATCCGTATTGCTTTAATGGGAGCTTTGATATGTGAACTCTGCCTCTACTTCACTAAACGCAGAGTCATGTTTAACTTGAGCAGTCTCATCTTGTAGTGGGCAAAAGCAAACTCCAATGCATGTTCTGTTTGTCTTAAATGGGGATTGTCCATGATGATTTGTGTGGGGTTTCACTCTCTGACCGGGAAGATCATGCTTTATTACGGCGTGTAGGTTTTGCTGGACTCTACAAACACAAATTCATGTCATTTGGATTCAGCTCGTCTGTACAGAGGTAATAGACGTAAGGCTGCTTGATGAATGGATGGCAGCTCTCTTGCAGTTTATTTTCGTGGATGTTATGAGTATGTTTAAATAATTGTGCATCACTTATTTTGTTGATTTAACATTTGTGTGTTTCCGGTGGGGGGTGTTCATGCACAGCAATCACTCCCCAAAAAGGCCAACTCATATGTGAAGGCAAAATTTCAAGGGGCGACAGTGGCTCAGTTGGTAGAGCATTGGCTTTTGAGCCTGAAGGTCGTGGGTTTTAGCCCACCACAAGATTTTCTCCACCAACTCCCACTGATGTTGATGTGTCCTTGGCAAGACAGTTAACCACTGGGAACACCAGATGCTACATTGGGGCGGCTGACCCGCAGAATGAGTCTAGTGTGTGTGTGTGTGAAAGGTTGGTGGTGGTCGGAGGGGCGGATGGCACATACTGGTTGTCTTGCTTCTGTCAGGGCACACTAGTGAATGAATAATGACATGTAAAGCATCTTTGAGTGTCCAAAAAAGCGCTATATAAAACTGATGTATTATTATTATTATTAAAATTTCCCTCCTGACCAGGGCCCAGCTCTAAACAAATCAGCCCAGCTCTAAACGAACCAGGCCCATGTGATAACCTAACATAATGTGTAGGTTGGAAGCAGGGCTGTTCTTCCTCCGCTGCGCTGCAAGAAGAACACATTAGGAGGCAGACTTGACCCATGTTTACGGACTTTATGCGCATGTGTTCTGTGCGCGTCTTGCTGCTCATATCAGTTCATACACATTGTCCTCCATAGGTCCACAGTCCATTCGAATACCGTCAATGCGTCAAGAAAATTCCTTTCTTATCAATTTCACATTGGAGAGACCCATGAGGAAAATGCCGTTAGACTTAGATTTAAGCATGTTTATTGATTGAGCATGTTTGGCGCCCTAGGCCCGGGAGGGATGCTGTTGAGCACGGCGCTTGCTCGCGTGCATAATCCCCAAAAAGCGGGCCTGCGATTGGTATAGCAGGACGTACTGCGCGGGCCTGAGAGCATGAGACGCTGCAGCAGAGGAGTCTTTGAGCGAGCTGTGAATATGAGATGCACACTCATATTCGCCAGACGCTGAAGCAGAAGAATCTTTGAGCGAGCTGAGAATATGAGCGCACGCTCATATTCAGCCAGACGCTGAAGCAGAGGAATCTTTGAGCGAGCTGAGAACATGCGCGCACGCGCATGTTCAGCCAGACGCTGCAGCAGAGGAATCTTTGAGCGAGCTGAGAATATGAGCGCACGCTCATATTCAGCCAGACGCTGAAGCAGAGGAATCTTTGAGCGAGCTGAGAACATGCGCGCACGCGCATGTTCAGCCAGACGCTGCAGCAGAGGAATCTTTGAGCGAGCTGAAATATGAGCGCACGCTCATATTCAGCCAGACGCTGAAGCAGAGGAATCTTTGAGCGAGCTGAGAACATGCGCGCACGCGCATGTTCAGCCAGACGCTGCAGCAGAGGAATCTTTGAGCGAGCTGAGAATATGAGCGCACGCTCATATTCAGCCAGACGCTGAAGCAGAGGAATCTTTGAGCAAGCTGAGAACATGCGCGCACGCGCATGTTCAGCCAGACGCTGCAGCAGAGGAATCTTTGAGCGAGCTGAGAATATGAGCGCACGCTCATATTCAGCCAGACGCTGAAGCAGAGGAATCTTTGAGCGAGCTGAGAACATGCGCGCACGCGCATGTTCAGCCAGACGCTGCAGCAGAGGAATCTTTGAGCGAGCTGAGAACATGCGCGCACGCAGCAGGGGAGTCTTTGAGCGTTTGAGGAAAGTGCGTGCCGCCACCAGAATCTTATTGCTTACTTGCTTTGCTGGGAGCTTACGAGGAAGCCGGTAGACGTTGTGCTGCCATGATAGCGGTCGCATCTGGCCCGATGTAGGTGGAGAAGCCGAAGAGGACCAGCGCCCCAGCTGTTGCAGAGAAGAGTGGGGGAGCCCCAGCGAGGTCGCGCGCGTGGCAGCGCCTATCCTGTGGCAGCGCCTATCCTGAAGGAGTGGGCTGTGTAGAGCAGGGACGTGCGGTGAGGTTTGTGATTGGGGAGGCACTGACTTTAAAAGTCAGATTTACAATCATTATTCAAATAAAATAGCATTTAATCACCAATGCAATGACATCCACAAACTTTATATACTGTAAAGATAAGAGAACCAGCTTCTTTTAATAATCTCACAACAAATCTAGCTGCTGACTCTGCTCCGCATCAAACAACATCTTTAAGAAGCGCAGGTGCGAGAGACGCGAGGAGAGAGAGACGCGAGGAGAGAGGAGCAGAGAGAGACAGAGAGGAGCAGAGAGACGGAGACGCGAGGAGCAGAGAGAGACGGAGACGCGAGGAGAGAGAGACGCGAGGAGAGAGGAGCAGAGAGAGACAGAGAGGAGCAGAGAGACGGAGACGCGAGGAGCAGAGAGAGACAGAGAGGAGCAGAGAGACGGAGACGCGAGGAGCAGAGAGAGACGGAGACGCGAGGAGAGAGAGACGCGAGGAGAGAGAGACGCGAGGAACATAAACAATAATTTAAACAAGTTGCAGAACTCTTGAGCAGTGTTTGAATCAGTGTTTTTCGGAAAAGCACTACTTTGCCGGTATCTGTCAATGTTCAACATAAAACACAGATTAACAAACTCCTCCCCCGCAGCCGGACTAACCTCGTAAGTCCAGTGGTGGTCTCCCAGTCTATATTAATTCTTTCTTTGTTTGAAAGTCCAATTGAGAAAAAAAAATCTTCATTCAAATCATCCATTTTCCAGCAAAAGAAATAGCATTTTGGGCTGATTGTTTGTTAGCAACTCTGGTATGAACTTTATGCTCACTATCACCCCTAGCGGTGAGGCACAGATACCGCCTGCCTCACGCCAAGCTTTTTCCTTGTGTGTTCATCTACGATCAAAAGACTTAAACTAAATATAAATTGTACACACATACGTGCAATACACTACTAAACACTAAGAGGAGTTTAAAAAATGTTTTTAAAGCAGGATATTTGAAACAAACGGTGATATATCAACTGCACGAGCTGAGTGCACTCAGACACACACACACACACTGTGAGGGAGCGGTCTGGGGTGAGGCACGCAGGAGCGCTGCCTCACCTCGTCTCTTTGAATAGGAATAACGGGATTTCGGCGATTTTGACTTCAGAAATGATCAAAACTGATGGGAACCGTGCCGAATATACATTAAAAGCATAGGACAGTGGATATAAATTATATATTTAAACTAAAATAATTATTAGTTTCCAATAATGGCAGGTGAGGCTCTGCCTCCCCTGCCTCCCCTGACTGCACGTCCCTGGTGTAGAGCTGGGGAGACAAATTGCAGACTTCAGAAGGAGCAGT